CTTTGTAGTACATTGTCCTTTTATTTATTTAAAATATGTTAATGCCTCTAAACCATTCTAGCAAATGAACAACAATTATTCTAACCTACTTAACATCAGTTTATAATTACTAATCAATAACTTATTGTAGGTACTAAGAAATAATTTATGAGTGTTATGACAATAATTATGTCAAATCATTTTCTTATTTTGCTGTTATATTCTATAGGCAGATGCAAAATAACCACTCTAAATTGCTGTTTAATTTTTAAATGTTGTTTAACTAAAGGATTATAGGTACAATTATAAAACAGTAGGCGCTTATTAAAATAATATTACATTTAAATAAGAAAATATGATATTTCCGTAAATTTATTTTGAGGCTAAAAATGATTTTTTAAATCTAAAATTAATTATCAAGGTACTTGTCGGTGTTATTTAATTTAAAAATATCTGTACCACCTACTGAAAATGGAAATTCCATTTCTAAAATTATTTATTATAATTTATATCTGACCCTTCTATAGACGCTTGCTATAGACTATAGACCCTTCTTTGACGTTACAGCGTTGCCAAAGGGTATTCAAATGTGTGGGATCCTACTTACAAGCTGTTAATCTAAGAAATTCCAGGCAATGTGATGACGCGCTACTCTGTATGCTCTTAAAGAACATTTTATTTTAATATGCTAATTTTATCCCTAATCCTAAAGAGTCATTTACCAATTTTTGTGCAGCCATACAAGAACCATGGATTGATTGTCTTTCCATGTATTAATGCTAAAAAGAACATAAAAGAGGCTTTAAACATTTGTAGAATTCATAATTTTGCTGAAAATTCCAAACAATCTTACATAAACTTAAAAGCAGAATAATTTTCGGACAAGCATATCCCAACAAGTATTTGTTTTCTAAATTAAAATTTTGGCAAAATAAATTGGGCAATAATATCTAGAATATGCTTATATTTTAAATTTTTAATTATTTCTAGTTTCCAAGAAAAAAAACCAAAGTGCTTTAAATTTTGAAATATCATAATGAATATAAACGCATTCACAGAAAGAAATAGATTAATGCAGCGGTTTTGCCAGACTAAGTATCATAATACTTATAGGAATATTGATAGAGAGTAAGCAATATCTTACTACTATAGTAAATCAGTCAATTAATCCCTATATTTTTTATTTCATTACCGCGGTAGCATACTCGAAAACAAAAATTCTTATAGCGCCGACTGAATGACTTATAACCAGCAGATTCAGTTTTATACAATCTGATATCTATTATCACTCTAAAATGCATTATAATCTCAGTGATCCCGTTTTATATTCCATAACACCCTTTCTGTTGTCATTACCAGAAACATTCAGATTTTTGGTGGTGGGGGATCCGCTACGTCAATAACCTATTAATTGTTGGCGAAAATTTGCAGTCTTTTGTCTTAGCGTCGTGTGTGCACGTGTGTTAGTTTTAGTTAGGTATATGAGCCAGTGTTTTTTTTGTGATCTTGTGTAACATGGAAGCTTATTTAGAGACTATTATTGATACAGCGCAGTGGTTCTTTACACTGACGTCACCACTTTCTGAGCTAAAACAGAAAGTTTTTATGTTAATTTATTTTCTTCTAGGCACACGAAAATGTGTCTTTTAAATAGTGAAATAAAAACATTTTATTTTGTCTCATTAGAAAGTGGTCAGTCTAAAGAAATTACTGCCTCTAGAATGTTTTATTTGCTATCCAGTGATAATAAAGTCATAGTTTAATATTATTGGTTTCTGCTTATGTTAAACGTTTGTATATTAGGTCATAATTTTTTCACACTAAAATTAGAACATGAAAAGTCCACAGAATTCTCATTCATCAATATGTACTTATTGAAATTTAATATACAGTATGTCCCTCTAGGTTGGAATCTTTTTTTTTATTGTATGTGTCATCGGCTTTAACTACCAGGGTTATTTCGCCTCATGTTATGTGTAGGCTTTGTTACTGTTTCCCAGCGCCACTTTAGGAACAGCACTGTTAATTAGATCCAACAGTGAATGGTCGAGTGGGGAAGGTGGGAATCTTATGGAAAACTTTTTTCTTAATAATTTTAGGAAAAAACGTTATTCTTCATAAAAAGTTCTGCATTATCTAAAACCTAGAATATATTCATCAAATATTAAATTTTTTCAGTAGTATATGAGGTATATGAGTTTTACTCAAGAGTAAAGTACCTTTATTCTTTATACGACTAATAAAATTTGATATCTGATGGTTGTATTTTAGCTTTTAGACATGCTCGATTTTTTATAAAGAATAACTTTTTTCCAATATTATTTTTTAGGAAAAAAGTAATTTTTGCATTTTTATGTTTTATAAAAATATAATTATTGTAAAATAAATGTTTTTAGGTAAAATATTGTTTTTTTTTTAATAAACCATATAAAAGGAAATAGAAAACAAATTTATTGCTCTGCTAGCCAAAATAAGTAAAAAGTGGCAATTTTAAACATTTTAGTTTATTATCTAGTGGGCACAACAATGAACAAATTTTAATAATTTTTTAATTATAAGAAGATGGTGGGTTATTATACATTTATATTTCAAAATTTAAGGGCTGCTATAAAAAAATTGTATTATCTATTAAATGTACAATTTCTTCATTTCAATCAATCATTTTTTGATGATAAATCCATGGCAAATTAATATTCATCCCACATTCTTCTAATAACCAAAAATTTATTTAAATTCGTTTATTGTTGTGTTGTGCCCACTATACAATATACCAAATGCTTAAAATTATCAATTTTTACGTATTTTGGTTAGGTTTTAAATATTCGCTCCGTGCGAAGTCATGGAAAGGAAAGCAAAAGCGATACTAGCGCTAGCTGCGGATAATTCGTGCATTTTAGGGCGATATTTTGTAATTTTGGCATATCAAATACACGTATACATTTTACTTTTTTTCAAAAAAAGTAGATAAAAACACAACAATAAGCAACCGGAGTTGCTGTGTTGAAAATTGAACAAATACTAGCAAAAAAAACAGTGAAACTTATATAAAAAATTTCAGTAGCAAAGTGGAAATTAAATCAAAGAAATAAATGGATAGATATACAATAAGAAGAAAAATTACCTTTATTTTTGTAATAATAACCGTAATGCTGCAAATAGTAGACATCAGAAACTTGAAAGGTTTTAAATCAACAATAAATTAACATTTTACCATGTTCTTTAATAACCCTTATTCTTAAATGTTCATTCAGCAAGGACTAGATTTCAAGATTTCTGCCTTTGATTATTATATGTGGTTGGAACGCAATTTTGTAACTTACTGATGGGAAATCAGTTTTAATCATTCATTCTATGTTTTCTTTCGAACAAAAATGAAAATATAAGTAATGATCCTTCTTTTATACATTTTAACTTCACGCTATTATTAAATGGTATTTTTTTATTTTGACAGATTGGAGTAATTCTTCAATAAAAACTTATTAGACTTAGGCAGCTTCTCATACAATTTCCAGTAAATACTGTTGCCTGCCTATATTTTATTATTCATTTTTATCGATTATACATAATTTTCTTTAATTTAAGCGATAAAAATATATAATAATAATAAATTAATGTTTTACTTGTTTTACAAATCCATATACTTTTATTAAAACTACCATATATACTTTTTAATTACGAATTCTATTAAAAGTTGCATTTGTCAGTGTACTCAGAAATAGTCCATTAGTATCAAAACGAATTGGCGCTGCTGTCGCGCACGGAGCGAATAGTATAATCGCATATCCACTATAAAACTAGTTCATAATAACTATAAGAAAATTTTATAAACAGTCGTATTTTATGATATGATGACAGTATAAGTGAATGATAGTCCGTATGAGAATAGCTTATAAACTTTATAAGCTAGTTTTATTATCAGTACATCCGAATTAGCCTCAGGTAAGAAATTATAATACCTGCTATAAGAATTTTTTACACCTCTCATAGAGTAGTTCACTTATTTTTATGTGAACGATTGTATAATAATAATAAGACGATTTCACTGTCAATAAGTAATGCATAACCTTTAACAAACCGTGATGTATTATGTCTACAGTCCGTATACTAACGGTTATGGAAGGTACTAGCAATTCTTGTTTTCATATCAGCAACAGCTCGTTTGGCTGTCCCATATAGTATACAACAGTTAATAAAGAGTACGAGAATTCTGGTGATGATTAGACCGCATTTCTTTCAGTTCATTCCTCAACAACAGTATTCCTAACATAACCCCAAATTTAAGCTCTTAATTTCTTGTTAAAGATTTTTTAAAATTCGCCGAAATTAGTGGCTAAAACGCCCTCGTTAAGTGCTGCTTTTTGGTTGTAACGCGTCTGTAACTATCGTATCGTACCCTATGAGTCATCATTCGTTTCTTACAACGATTTACATCAGTTTACACCAGAAAATAGCATTGAACGAGGCGTTTTAAGCCACTGGCGAATTTTAAAAAATCATTAACAAGAGATTAAGAGCTTAAATTTGGGGGTTAAGAATAGTGCTATTGAGGAATGCATATATTTTCATTATATTTCAAAATTTAAAGCCCGTTGATTTTTACTCGGAAACTGGAAGGAATTAAAACTTTAAAATATATGCATATTCTATATATTATTGCCAAATATATTCTGCCAAAATTTTAATTTTGTAAAAAACTTACTTTTTGAGATATCCTTGTTCGAAAATTATAAGGGGGTGCTCTAATCACCATAGTGGGCTTTCACACCAAAGAAGCGTGTAACGTGCGTCTTGCTGCCCGGAAGCAGGAAACATGCTGCTTTTTTTTTAAAACCCATACAAATAAATGAATGGTTTGACACCGAAGTGGCGTCGCAAAATTGCGACGTGGCAACATACGACGTGCGTCTCCAATATAAAACAAGTCGTATAATTCGCTACTTTGCCACGTGCTTCCAACCCGCGCAGACGTTATTTGAATTGTTTACTGGCCGTTAATAAATTAATTTTTAAGTTTTTTCGCGATGTCAAGCAGAAAAGCTATAAAAACATTACCGGATGATGAACAATTTAATATAGGCTTTGTTCAGAATGTTGAGAAGTACCCGTGTCTTTATGATCATACTTTAAAGGCGTACAGCAATAGAAGTGAACAAGATAAGGCTTGGAGCCAAGTTGCTGGGACATATTTTTTTTACATGTAAGTTCGTTATTTTTATTTAAATATGTTAGAAACTCAAAAAAATCGTTGTGTCTTGTCGACCAGTAACAACTGGCCAATAAACAGCCGGCGAAATATTGATTTACAGAATTTGCTACATGGCTGTCCAAAAAAGTTAGGTTATGCTTCCACTTCTGTGTCTAATAATGACAGGCAAAACACGACGCACATATATAGCAACATTCACGTTGGCAATTTACTCCGCTACCCTCTGATGGAAGCGTACTCGTCTTGTCGTTGACCGATAACGACTTTAAAGCATATATTTGTAAATATATAATAAATTCATGTTTGAGTATTTTCTTGCCTTTTATTCTCATGCATTTATTAACTTTATTAGGTACTTCCTCAAAAATATAAGTAGTCTTTCCTCCACATCAATATCTCTTTGATAATTTGTATCCTGTAACTGCATTGATGGTTTCATTAAATTTAGAAGAAGAAGAATTTATTATTGACAAAATATAAATACAATAATTACAGTAAAGTTTGAAAACATTTAACATTTGACAAGGAGCCCTAGAATAAGCATCTTGCCTAGGCTGTGTAGCCTGTGTTGCTATTGTGCTCATTCTAGGTCCCCTTTTTTAAATTGTATTATAATATATAATATAATATAAATGGTAAGCATAAAAAAAAATAAACAAAAATTGGAATAATAATGAAGATGATGTATTGGGATTTGGCAGATACAGTGCCAGACTTATTGATGTTGAATTGGTTAATGCTTGAGGAATCGCAGGGCATGTTTGTCGGTATATATATATATATATATATATATATATATAATATATATTTTTGAATAGGACAATGAATCAGAATAAAAATTTACTATTGTGAGATAGAATATATTTCTTTACTTCGGTTTTAAATATATGTTCTTTAGCGATTTGTTTTATATTTATAGGTAGGAGGTTATAATATTTTGGGCCAAAATAAAAAAATGATTTTTGGGTAACTGATTTTTTAAAAAGGTTAACGGCTAGGTCCATATTGGCAGTAGAGCGAGTAACTCGAGAGTTTTTTATATTGAAACTTACTGTTGTAAATTTGTATAATACATTGATATATAAATAGCGATTTGATGTTAAAAATTTGTGTTTCATCATAAAGTTTTTTAGTTCGAAAAAGTTTAGGCTTATTAAAGATAATTTTTAGGATAGTATTTTGAGCTGTTTGTAATATATTAAGTGTAGAATTAAAAGCACCGCCCCATGCGATAATACAGTATCTTAGAATGGATTCCACAAATGAGTTGTATAGCATGATTAAACTTTTTCGTGATAGAATCTGCCGAAGCACGTAAAATTTATGCATTAGAGCTCTTATTCTTTTACTTAGGTGTATGATGTGATCATTCCAGCGCAAGTATTGGTCTACTATAACTCCTTAGTATTTTATTGCTTCTACTTTATCTAAAGGGGGGCACTTACAGTTTGGTTCACAAACTTGTGAATGTAATTTTAATGTAAAATTAGGTGGTTGGTTTACTATAGTTGGACTAAAAGCAATAAATTTTGTTTTTTTAATATTTAGTGTTAGAAGGTTGGTGTTTAGCCACATGTTTACCTTTTTTAAGTCAGCTTCTGCGTTATGTTGAATTTCATCCCATTTTTCGCCTTTAAAAACTAATGCTGTGTCATCAGCATAGCATACTAGATGACCAGAGAAATCGTTTATTTTAGTTATGCTATTGATGTAGACCAGAAACAGTATTGGACCTAATACTGTTCCCTGTGGTACACCAATTTTTAAGATAGTACCAGAACTCATTTCTTTACCAATTTTGACTTGCTGACTTCTATTTGACAGATAATCCAAAATAAGTTCAAGAGCCAATCCCCTAACACCGTAGTTACTTAGTTTGCTTAAAAGGATTTCGTGAGAGACGGTGTCAAACGCCTTGGCCAAATCCAGGAAAACTGCTATGCATCCCATGGAGTTGTCCAAAGCGGACACAGTTTCCTCTAAGAAGTCCAATATCGCGTTTTCGGTGTTAGATTTTTTTATAAAACCATATTGAGAATGAGTTATGATATTATGCGATTCAAAGAAATTGATTAATCTTTCTTTAAGAGCACTTTCAAAAATCTTCGCAAAATTGTTAATGAGAGATATTGGCCTATAATTTACTGGCTTACTAGAGTCCTCCGATTTGAAAATGGGGATGACAACTGACTCTTTCCATTGATGAGGAATTTTCCCGCTTTGCAATGCTAGGTTTATAATGTGTGCTAATGGGGAGACGATATATTGATGAATATTTTTAATAATTTTTAAATCTATATTGTCTGGACCCGGGGCACAGTTATTTTTCAGTTTTGATATAATTTGTATTACCTCGTTTTCAGTAACTGGTTTTAAAAATATACTAGAGTTTATTTTTTCATTTTTGAGAAAAACAAGCTTTTTAAATATTTTCTTTTCCTTCCTGTAATAGCTTTGGAATTTTTGAGGATGTACTTGTAACTGCTGCGATACAATGAGCGTGCTATGTGTATCAGCATTATCTCGTATGATCCCATAGTTTTCTACTCTTTTTCCTCCTCCTCCTCCTCCTCCTCCTCCTCCTCCTCCTCCTCCTCCTCCTCCTCCTCCTCCTCCTCCTCCTCCTCCTCCTCCTCCTTCTTGAAAAAAATGGGATTCCCATTTAAAAAAACAAAGTTCACCTCGATATGGCCATATTATGGTCAGCTATAAAAAAATGAATTTAACCAAAATGTTTCCCCCAAAAAACTATAAAACTTTTGTCTGAAACTTTTTTTCTAAAATGCATATTTTCGGCGGTATTTAACTGTAACACTTTAATTTGAACACCCGGTATATACTCAATGCTCTAACTCAGGTTTAAAAACAATAAATATTATTATTCCAACATTTGTGAACAAATTAGAAATTTACAATAAATGTTCAAAATGATGTCCATTATTGTCAGTGCGCATTCTGATACGCATATTTTTTTTACGAATGCGTGTTTATTTTTGGTTTAAATATAGGCAGTGGCTCCCTGTCCGATATCGGATTCGCAGCTGTGCGTTCTCGACGTCCGACCTCGGACATAGGGGTCTATTCTGTAACACATCCGTTAAAATTTAGTGGCCTTTAAAAATTAAACTTTTAGCGGTCCGTTAATTTTTTTAACCACTCTAAAACTGCATCGTTAGAAATTGAGTGTTGTTTAATACTGTTTGACGTGCAACATACAGGGTGTTTCTAAATTCATGCGACAAAATTCAGGAGGTGATTGCTCGTATGAAATTAAGATGGGTCTTTTCTATAACGAAATTTCTCTAGCCTACCCCTTTCCGAGATATCACCCTTAAGAAGGTGGTGACTAAAATTGAGTTTTTATTTTTTTTTTCTAAAATTTCAGTACAGCTAGAAAATTAAAATTTTGTAATTTTCGTGCACTCGCAAAGGACTAACCACGGGTATTTTTCAATATTCCTGTTACATTATAGAGGGGTGAAATTAGCAACCCTTTATTTCATATCAAATTTTTTTTGGAAATAAAGCTTTATGAAATAAAATTATAACTCGAAATCCTTGTTTTATTTAAAAAGGTTATTTTTTCTTAAATTTTTTCCCAAAACCAATAGCTGCAGAGAAAAAAAATAAACACCATAATTTATATAATTTTTTAATAAATTGAGTGGAAAACAGTAAAGATTAAATAGTAAATTACACACCGAGGTGGAAAGAGTTTCATTCCTGTCGTGAGATTAGTTAGATCACCGAGACACGAAGCATCGAGGTTAGCTATGATCTCGAGACAGGAATGAAACTTCCTACCGAGGTTTGTATACTATTTTATTTACAACCATCATATTTGGATCAAAGTCTCTGTTTTCTCAGAATAATCAAGTAATTATATTGTTACCGTGATTACGAGGTAAACAATTATCACCAATAAAAATAAATGTCAGATAAAGTCGGATATTAAATTCGCAAATAATAAATATCAATAAGTAGTTTGTTGTATTTTAGTTCATTGTTGTTTTGTATTGTTTGCCATTAAATAGGTATTATAAAATTTGTAAAAAACATGTGTTATTTTTTTTAAATATAAAAAATATTCATTTACAATAGATGAAATGAGGGCGGGAAGTAAGGTCGGGAAGTGAGGGCGGGAAGTGAGGTCAAGAAGTGAAGGCGGGAAGTAGAGGTGCGTAATGTGACACTTCCTAACCTTCAATGACGTTAGTGATGACATTACATATATGGTTGTAAAAAAAAAGTTAATTCTTGGATGAGTAGTAACACTAGTAACTTAAGAAACACCCTCTTCTTCGCTTTTATAAATACAACCCATGATGAATAATTACTTAAGCAATTTAAAGAAAGGCGGCAGTACATCAACGCTGAAGGACATGCAGAATTTGATGCTCTATGTACAAGGTCGGACGCGGAGAGCGCGTAGCTGCGTATCCGATATTGGACATGGAGCTACTACCTTAAATATAACCAGACATTATACGACAAATGGGCGGTAGCACCATCTATCTGCAGCCACATTTTTGTCTAATATTCAAAGGAATATCCTCTAGAAGGTTCTAGAAATCTTTTTTTCAAAATTTTAAAAATTTTCTTCGATTTAAATAGCAATCAAACACCCAACTCTCTTCCTATCATTGCACTATAAACTTGTTTGGCTTAAATCCATCAGTTTTGCCACAATTATTTTGCTTGTATTAGGATTTTCGATAACGCATAAAAGAAAATTTTGTTGATGAGTTTCGTCATCTGTTGTTGGCTTATTTATAGTACGCTTTTCATAAACAATAGTACCAGTAAAAAGAGCTCATTATTGCATTAATGCTGGGGTGGCCATTTGGTCGATATTGTTTTTAGTGTGTAACAAAAGTTTAAATAAATATTTGTCATTTATAATATGACTGTTGAAACCACCTTGTAGATCTGATGCGATGGTACTATTTCATTTTTATTTTATAAATAAATATCAGTCATGTACTGAACAT